CTTTCACTTTCTTTCTCTCACTCAAATCTTTCAGCAACATTGCCCATTTCGTTTTGTTTATTGTTTCTTCTTCTGATCTTTCTTTTATTCTGTAAAAATAATCCTTAAGAAGAAGAATCTTTGATTGTCCACTTCCTTTGCTATTCTTTGATGAATTCAAGGCAATAAGTTAGGGACTTGCCAACAAAGAAAACATGCTCACTTGTTTCTTTCATCTTCTCTTCCTCCCTCTACCTCTCATTTAAAAAAAAAAAAACTTTCCATTTATCTTTAGGAAGGAGATCTTCAACTCAAATCTTGATAATTTTGCTTCAAAATACTTCAAAGTCTTGACGTTGGGTCATCAAGCTTCAGACTTTGAGGCGAAATTATTGTAAGAAAAAATAAAAATTTATATATAAAACTTACAATGTCATGGCAACCACAACAAAATGGGGAAGGAAAAGGTAAAAGGGTATGCAAGATTAGAAAACGTTGTTGTTCATCATCTTCATCTTCATCTTTGATCCAAAAATACAGATTCAAGCGTGCGATTTTGGCGGCTTCAACAAAGTCACCTTCTTTAGCAATCCCAAGTGCTGAATTTCCCTCCACAGGTTCACTCAAGAGTGGTTCCAAAACCAAAGAAGCTTCCGTTTCTGCTAGAAAACTTGCCGCCACGTTCTGGGAGATCAATAAAATCTCTTCCCCGCTAGCTAAGGAAGAGTTGGAGAAGAAAGATAGGAGGAGAAAAGCTCCCAGAGTTGTGAAAATGTCTAACACCTTGCCGCCCACTTTGTCTGATCCGTCTTATAGCCCTATTTCAGAGGTGGGATTCATATGCTTTTCTTTTTTTGAAGATTTGGATTAAAAAAAACTTACTTAAAGTTTTTGAATTGTACAGAAAATGGATCGATCCAGAATCAAATCTCATAAGAGAAGATCTTCGGTTGTTTCTCAAAAGCTTGAATTAACTGAATATAAGTTGGGGAGTTTGGACTTCGTTGGCAATGCCAGTCTAATGGAGGTGATGGAACAATTATGAAAATTAATTTCTTCTTTTACTAAATTTTCCAAAGTTTTTAATTGCTTACCAACAGTTTGTTTGTGCTTCAAATCTGCATGTTTATAATTGATTCCAGATCAAACGTTTTCCATCTGAGTTGTTTTGTAATTATGATCAATGAACTTTATTCATTTTTTTAATTGAGAATTCACTGCAATAAACTTGGAGTTGAATCTTCATGATGCAGACTGAAACTCATTCTAAAGGTAAAAATCATGCTGCTAGATGCATAACTGGGTCCGAAGCTCGTTTAAAGGACATCCGGAATGGCCTTACCACTTCAAAAGAACTCTTAAAAGTTTTGAATCATGTATGTGGTCTCGAAGAGCGACATTTGTCGATCATGTCCCTTATATCTGCCCTGCGCGTTGAACTTGATCGAGCTCGAACCGATGTTGATCATTTGATCCGCGAACCACGATCTTATTGTGATGAAATGGAGCACCTCATGAGGCATTTTGCAGAAGAAAAGGCTGCTTGGAAGAGAAAGGAGCGCGAGAGAATCCGAGATGCAATAGCATGTGTAGCGGATGAGCTTGAGGTGGAGAAGAAACTTCGGAGGCAAACAGAGAGATTGAACAAGAAGCTCGGGAAAGAATTGGCCGATACAAAGGCATCTCTGATGAAGGTGACAAAGGAGCTTTGAGAAGAGGACAAAGGAAATATTGGAGAAAGTCTGCGATGAGTTTGCTAAAGGAATCGGAGAAGATCGGGCCATGGCAGAAGAACTGAAAAGAGAGACGGCTAAAGTGAGGGAAGAAGTGGAGAAGGAAAGGGAAATGCTTCAGTTTGCCGATGTCTTACGGGAGGAACGAGTTCAAATGAAGCTTTCGGAAGCTAAACATCAGTTTGAGGAGAAGACTGCAGTAGTGGAAAAGTTGAGAAATGAACTTGAGGCATACATAGGAACCAATATCAATGAAGAAAATGCAGATGGTTCTCCAAACCTGCAGAAGATCAAAGAGCTCGAAGCTTATTTGAAGAATATAGATTTCGGAATGTGTCAAGCAGCCAAGAAGATGTCAATAAAGGTGAAGTCATTATGAATGGAGAAGAGTGTGAAGTAGATGATTCAGCCGATAGTGATCTTCACTCCATTGAATTAAACATGGACAACAATGAAGAGCTATATGTGGAGCTATGCTTGTGGAAATCGTCGACGGTGAATCTAAGAGGATTCTGATCGGAAAAGAAAACAAGGGGATGAAATCTCGGTCCGAGGAGCTCCCATGGGGAAGCATTTGCTTAGAAAGAGGAAGTTCGGACTCCACAGATTGGGATCATGAAGATGAAATCAGAAGATACAGGTCAGTGAAGAGTCTTAGAGATCACATATTATCTAGTACCAAAAGAGCACTCATCGGAAGCTTTTCGAGTCCGACCCGGAAATGGAGCAATGGCTCACCGGCGATGAAGGGGGACGATTTGAAGCAGCAGCCTAAGGTAGTTAGCACCAGATGTGAAGGGCGAAGTTCAATGAGCTAAGGAAAAGATAAAACAACCTTTTTGTTAAATTTTCGTCATTTGTTTTGTTGGCTAATGTTCATCAATTCCAAAACTTTAAAAAAACCAGACAGTGAACAAACTCTTAGTCTGTATGAATCTGTTCTAATTTATGGATACGAAATTTGCGCTAAGAGTAAAGATTCAGTCTATCAAAAGTCCAATAATTTCCAACATGTTATTTGGTGTTATATATGCATACGTAGTAAATCAACATCATCCATGTGAGTTAATCCCAATCAAATTGTCTCAGACCATACATTTGACAACAAATCATACCACTCGCATGGGTTGTATAACAACTCTACATTGTCATATTATCATGAAATTATTATTTTCCATTTCCGCCAAACAGGAGTTACCCTCCTTTTTTCCATTTCCGCCAAGCCGAAGTTAACCAAAACCATAAAGCAAAAAAGATCCATACCGTAATAAAGGAGTTACTAGGCTTAGAGGAGGAAAAAAAACTTTATTAACGTTTTCAACATAACATCAAACACGAAGAACAGAGAAAAGAAAAGGAGAAGGGTAAGTTTTGTATTGGTCTTGTGGTGATGGCAGGTGAAGGAGTTTCAAGAGAAACCCAGATGTCCATTGAAGCTTCTTCAATGTTTCCCGGGTTTAGATTTTCTCCAAATGATGTTGAGCTGATTTCTTATTACTTGAAAAAGAAGCTTGACGGATATGAGAAGTGTGTTGAGGTCATTCCCGAGGTTGAAATTTGCAGATATGAGCCTTGGGACTAACCGGGTTTGCTTCTTTATTTTTCAATATTTTACATCCATATATGAGAAGCCTAGCAGCTGTTAAGTGTAGGATCTTTTCTATTTTTTTCCTGGAGAATTGGTATCTTAATTACATGATTTTAGGTAAAATGCCTTCATTGGATTACTTATTTGGATGTCTAAGATACTAACATGATTGTGTTGTGCAATTTTGCGATTAGCACCTAGATTATCCTTTTGACGTTTATGTTCCAGTAGAGTTATGTTATTGATTCACAAATGCTTTTTTTCTTGGGTGGATGTTACTGGTTTCCCACACAAATCTGTCGTAAAGTCGGATAATGAGTGGTTCTTCTGCGCTGGGAGAAAGTATCCGAATGGTTCACAAAGTAGACGTGCAACTGAACAGGGTAACTGGAAAGCCACCGGGAAAGAGCGCAATGTCAAGTCGGGTTCTAATGTGATTGGCACGAAGAGGACTCTAGTGTTTCACACGGGACGTGCACCGAAAGGGGAAAGAACAGAATGGATCATGCACGAATACTGCATAGACGGAAAGTCCCAGGTGATTTATCTTCATAACCATTGAACATATAATGGTCTCAAATAGGAAACTATGTGCAGATAGACTAGTTGAGTAATCTAATAACAAGAAAAAAATAATATGAAGACTACGGTTTCCCTGGCTCGTATTAGGGAGACATACATTGCAGCCAGGTTCACCTTTGTAGTCAAGCCATATCAATAGATGCGGTTCACTTATTTGAGCTCAATATTTGAGTAAATGATTCTGATATGTTTTCCTGCTGTTTTTTTCTCTTCCTTCTGATGAATGGTTTTAGGTCGATTCATCCTGTTAGTTATGGGGTTATTTCGATTGCTATTCTGCTCATGTGTCATTTGCTTTCTGAATTTGTAGGATTTGCTAGTTGTTTGCCGCCTTAGGAAGAATAGCGAGTTTCGTCTGAATAACGCATCAAACCGGACTCCTCAGACCACCATTTATGCATGACAGCAACTTTGCTACCTCAGATGGTGCTACTGACCATACTGGCACTTCTGAACTGGATAAAGCCTACTTGAAGAAAGGTACTGGTAGTTATGATTCTCATTCTATTGAGCAATTCGATTCCGCATCTGTATCCGAGCAAAAACATTCTAACGATGTTGGACCAACAGAATCTTCCACACCTCAGAATGTTTGTTCATAGGAATCTATCCTAGTATCACATATTATTCATGCTGTTGAACTGAATTCATATTTTTATTGTCCAAAAACCTCACATTCCGATATGTTTTGGCTTAAAATTCCAGGATTCCGATGCCGAAGAAGATTACTTTGCTGAGATACTGAAAGATGATATAATCAAGCTTGATTAAACACCATTGTCAGCTAGATCGAATGTCTCACTTACGATTGCGAGCACTTCCAATGGCTATCAGAGGAGAAGTCAGCAGCCGAGGCAAGAGAGCGAACCCCGCGTATCCAATTTCCAGGGCACGGCAAACCGGAGAATCAAATTGAGGAAGCCTAAAGCACGCAATTTTCTGACTGCCAAAGCATCAGCGGAGTTGGAATGCGGTGTTGGTGAGATCTCGTTAGAGAAATTAAGTTGTCCGAAGTCGAGGGACTCATCGAAACGGCTGCTATCTTTGTTTTCACGGTCGACCGCCAATCTCCGGCTCATTTATGCGACTTTTGCTATTCTTACATTGTTTAGCTTTTTTTGTGACATCTCTTGGAGGTTCAAGCCTATTAAAAACTCCAGGTATGTGCTACTTTGTTGAAGAACTTGTGCCAATGAATCTATTATATCGTAATGTTAGACGGAATTCTTGTATTTTAAACATTTCCTGTAGGCTCTTCATTGGAGTGCGAACCGGAAGAGAAAATATGATTGGTAACACATCTTACTACTTTGGGCCATAGCTACCATGACTGGACTGTCCTAATGCGTATAGTATGCTTGTGACATTTTACCTAAATTCATCACATTCACATGGAAATTTGAACCTTAACATAACCTTTTTTAGGTGGGTTTCTTCTTCATTATTCAAATATTGTTAGACGGTTAACAAATGGAGTCGAAAACATTTAATGTTTTGGTTTGTGAAGCAGGCAAAATCTACTTAATTATAATTAATTGCAATCTGACTTCATGAAGCTGGTCAAATTTATAGCTATATAATCTTTGATTTTTCACCTTTCAGATTGGGTTACACCAATTGTTCAATATAATTAATCTACATGATTAGTCGAAAAGCCAAAAGTCCAAAGGTGGAACTGAAGCTCGAGCTACACCAACTACAACAGGGGCGGCTAACATCAAGCTATCCTATCGTCCAATGCATCCGTCTCCTCGGCATCGGTCACTAGGAGGCCGTGCATGTCCGAACCTCCCGGATAGTTCTGAAGGAACGCGATGATGCTGGGGGATGTCCTCGGGCCTCATTTAGTTATGCTATCGGAAGTGGATCCCAAGTGCCCCAAATGCAAGAGCACCATCTTGCTTGATTTCTAACCCGGACAACTCCAAAGATAAGCAACTGAAACTATTTTCTTTGCTTGTAGGGTCTTCCTCTATTTATAGTTAGTTTAATTGAAGGTTTTAAAGATAAATAATTGGAGGTCTCCCACGGAAGCTGCTCTCAATCTGACGTTGGGGGCAGCCTACTATCGTACCTTCCCTTATTCCATTACATATGGGAATAGGATCAACTAATTTTTAAAGATAAATAATACATGTATTTCGACACCATCGATTAAAGATTAGTTACCTTAATGCCTTTTATGGGAGAGATTTAACTTTTAGAATAGTATGATTTAGTGTTAGAAATTAACTGCTTTTCTAATCCTATTGACCATGAATCTTAATTTTATTCAACTAGGTTTAACTAGAGATTTGAATTACGGTGTAGTCACGTTTATCCCGATTGTGATAGTAACGAGTGCTATTATAGTCATTGTCGAAACTAATACCATTAACGTTATATAACAAACGATATTCCAATAACAAACCGCTACTTAAAACTATTAGTTGAGGTCATGACTAACACAACGAAGAAAGTTAATGAAATGTTTTATGTACTTATCATTCAAAACTTAATAAATTAAATTAAATTTTTGATAGTTTATCAAACATAAATATAAAATTTCGTTTCCATAAAAATATCTTTTTATTTTTATTTATATTTTTTTATTATTGATATATTTTAATTTTTTTCTCAATAGTTAAAAAGAGTATTGTTTTTTTACAATATAAGTGTATATGTTGTTAATATCATATTAAAAAAAATCCCTCAACAAACGTAATCAATATCATATTACGTGCGTTTCAGGTGTCCATGTTACGTCTTACAAGATTAGTTTTATGTTTTTTATGATACTTAACGCACGGATATGTTTCTAGCATTGTTTCAAGTTTATCAGTATTTTCAGATGTTTATATAACTGATTCCAAAGTTATTATAAATTACAATACATATGTAATACTCCTTAATGGGTTTATATATTGACATACAGACACGTTATTGTAGGGTTATGTATCTCGTACCCATATTCGAATACATTTAAACACATACGTAACGCATGCGTTAGGAAAACCGAAGATCACAATCATAGTATTTGGCAACCTCCATTACTCTTCCAAGCCTAATATAACTTTCGGCATCTATCACATGAATAGCAGCAATCTACAGGTTCAATCTCAGTGGAAGGTCGATCCTAGCTCAAATGCCTCCAGCAAATTCAATGAATCCCTCGAGCTAGACACCTTCGTCTTCAAGACAATCGGTCTCGGTGTACTGCATGATTAAATGCATTACAGCCAAGTTCAGCCTTGCATAGTTCCGGTATGTTGCTTCACAAAAACAACCTTGTCATGCACCGAGCATCATGTACGAGTTTACATCTTTATTTCATCAAAGGTTTTGCTCACTACAATATAAACAAGGTCATCGCATCATATTTGTTTCTCACCACATGATGTCTATATGAACCCCTATCGGTTCCGGCAAATCTAAATGAGATGCTCTAGCTGATGCAATGAAAGCAAAATAGTCAGAATTATATACAGTAGAGTTTGATAAAGTATGACCCCTTATTTACTACAATATCACGTTGATCACTTGTATTAAACTGTCGTTTTGGATGTCAAAATAATTCCTTATTCTCAATAAATAAATGAAGGAAATACGTAGTAAAGAGAAATAATGGTCGATTCCACAGGGACTTAGAAAATTATAAATTTCTGTTTGATTATTTATACAGGCGTGAAACAGTAAAAATGGGGAATTTTGGTAATAAAATATTAAAATAATAAAAGCGATTAAATAAGTAGAAGCAATTAAAATAAAAATAAGAAGATGAAGATTATGAATAAATACGGTAAAAGTAGTCTCAAGCTTCGCTTTGACTCAATTTCGTTATGATCATCGAATAAGGTTTCTCTTCAGGATTCACGTCGGTTACTTTGTCTACAAGGGCTATCCCTGTGACTTTATCTTGTATACCGAATACCCAAGGTAATCTTTGATTCCGGCTTCGGTAATTGATTCTAAAACATCAATTGTCGTAGATCAATTACCGTTTAAGTTCATGGCGTCCGACTCGGATTGTTGCTTCGATAAACGTCAATTCCGATCTCAATTCCTCTTGGCGAAGCTATCTCGCCAAGTGTGTTCCAGGAAGTCGAATTGCTTTCTATAAGCGAATCTTCCTCTCACACATTTAATCGCAACAACCTCTTGACCAAAGTCAATCTTTGATTTTGAAAACTGTTTTGATTTTGAAAAATAAGCGCAGAGATTGAGAGAGATATTCTGAAGATATTAAGGGTCTGTTCAATTATCCCGATGGAATTGAGTCATCGCGACAGCTCTCGGCTTATGAAAAATTTAGCTAAGCATGACAAAAATCATACTTAGCATTTGAAAACAAAGCTTGAAAAATAAAAGAAAATGAAAGAACTTGAAAGTAAAAAGAGAACTTTATAAAAACTAAAGAGAAAAGAAGAATGTAATCTGAATGATTAGTTTAGGCTTACCTCAAGTGGATATTTATAATCTCTCAAAACCTAAAAGATAAACAAATAAAATAAATAAAATAATCCTAAAGATAATTGTTTTTTAATTTAAATTCAAACTTAAATTAATCTCCTTATGCAACTCTGCTCATCAATCTTCCAGAAGGCGTGTGGAGGAATTCTTCTAGAAACTGTCGCTGACTGGACCTTATAGAAACTATCACGTCAGATCGCGTCATGCCCAGAGTAGTGCCCATGTCTCCAGCTGTGACGAAATAATAAAAAAAATACAGAATACGCTCGTTTTGTCACTAATTCTAGAAAATAAGGACTTACACGAAAACAAACATAACACGATCAATTTAGCAGTAATAAATCCTCAAAACCGAAGAAAAAACGAGCAAAGATTAACGATTCTGAACACTCATCAATTACTTAACTGTACAGTGACTGTTACGGACTTGATATTATTTAGTTCGTGGAAATTTGATGAAGATCAAGTTCCAGCCTTTATGAGAACCTTTACGCCAAACTCAACGAAGTATCAGGAAGACAGGAATGCTTTCAACAAAATGCAAGCCAAGTAATATTCGGTTCGAGTCCTATTTTTTTTTTTAATTCGGTTTGGGTCGGGTCGGGTCGAGTTTTTTTTTAAAGTGGTATTCGGGTCGGATTTGGATTTATGATGAAAAATACCCGACCCGACCCGGAAAAATATAATTTTACCTTATATATTTAGAAATAATTACAATAATATCACTCTATATATTATTATTTTTAATTAAATCAATGTTTTTATTAAATAAAAATAATACTTTTTATTATTTCGGATCGAGTAGGATTCAGATTTTATTTCAAAAAGTCGGGTCGAGTGAAGGGTAAATATTATGTGAGTCGAGTCAGATTTCGAGTGAATGGGTCATTGTTCTCGGGTTGGGTCAAGTGGACCAAAAGTCCGACCCAACCCGACCATGCCCATCCATGCTATTTCCTCTTATGGATCAATTTAAACTTTGCATTCTCTCTCCAACTTGCACCAGCTTAGTCATTCTGTCGGCGATTAGGTTATTGCCCCGAGAAACATGCTTGATCAATACAGTCCACGTCTTCTCCAGTCTCCAACAGTTCAATTGAATGTTCAAGGAATGCGAATGAGGAGCTCCGTTAACTATAAGTATCTTTCGTGGTTTTCAGTTTCTGGTTCAATTGTACACTCCACTTCCTCTCCACGAAAGCTACAATTATATCCTTTTCTACTTAAATTCAGATTATCAAATATATAACTCGAACTCGAATTGAAATTTTTTCGAATTACCTTGAGTTTATAAAATTTGAGTCGAGTCGAAATTTCAAGTTTTTGTTTAAATTTAATAATAAATATTTACAATATTATGATATTATTTGATTTCAATTTAGATGGTTTTTTATAACTATATAATGCATATATTTCTTCATATTTTTTCATATGTGATATACATATATCATACAGAATCGAGACACTCGACTCAAACTTGAAAATCAATCCAATAATTATTAAAAAATGTTGAGTTATTTGAGTATTATTCGACTTATATTTTACAACTCAATTGGAATTTGAAATTTTTTCGAGTCGAGTCAAGTTTATGAAATTATAACTCGAAGTCAACTCGAGTTGAGTTTTATCGAATTGATTCAAAAAATCGATTTTTGAAGTTGAGGTTTATTTACTCCTACCACTGATACTTCTTTTCTTTTTCTTAAATCAATATCTATTAAAAATACAATTCTCCTTTTTTTTCCTTCATAAGAGGAATTATTTAAAAATAGGCATCACTTTATGATGTAAATTTTCTATATATGTCATAACAGTATGCATATGCAGCGAGTGAGGATTGATATCCAATAAATTTGAGGTTATAAGCCTAACATCTACCATCATATATACTTCTCAAATTACGATTGCTTTTTCCATAAACTATAAAAAGAAAAAGGTTAAATTTAGATTATTTATTTTGAGAAAGTGGTATTATTTGAAGCTCCAAATACATACATGTTTCTTTAAAATTATATATAAGACATATAAAATTAAGTTATTTATAATTATAATTTTTAATGGCTAAAGAGAATATTAGAATTATTTATACAAAACATTTCTCTCTAGGAATTTTTCTCGATGCTTAGATCCCACCATAAATAAAAAGCCCATGATCACTGCAGTGGTGGCCCGTGAGCTTTTAGTAGTTTCACCAACTCTACCGTGTATGTCTTGACAAAATTTTACAGTTGGAAAAACGAAAAGCAATATTGGTGGAATATGGAATATTATATTCCACCAGGGAAAAAGAAGAAGAAGCATATATGTGGTCGCACTTACAGTTAAAAAATAGTATATATAAATTCACTATTGTCTGTATTTCTTGGAAATATACGTTATTTTTCCTTAGCTGTAGGGTATCCATAAACAGATACGGATTCACATGTACTTTTTAAGGTATGTAAATGACATAAAATTTTCGTATGATATGAATAAATAAAATATCACAATAAACACAATTAATAAAATAGATAATTAATTGAAGAAAATTCAAAGACTTAGGACAGACCACCACTCCCATGAATAAGCAAACTTTCTCAACTGAACTTATACCCCCAAAGTCAACATCATCATTAACTTGATTTAGCCAAACTTTACTGTTCCATTTTACTTTGGCAACTAATGTCATACTTCCATGGAAAATGATCCAGAAAACATGCTTTTAGCGCTTTACGCAATAAAATAGCAATAATGTTGTAGAAAGATTATTTCAGTTATCGTAAGTAGAGTTTTTTTTTAATATTTTATTTTTCCTTCTAAGAATTAAGAAACATGTGAAGTAAAAGCACACAAATCTTTACCTAAAAAAAGATTTCTCTCATCTTAGCTTTGCAAAATTAGAATCGATCGAAATGAGTAAATAACATAAATAAACTAGTTAAGAGAAACATCGACGGTGCAGGTTTGAACAAGTTGATACTTCATAGCCGAACCAACTTGGATTCCCTTGGTTCGATCGGAAAAGGAAATATCTGCCGGACAATTGGCGTTTATTTGATACCTCCCCGAAATCCAAGTCCCGACTCTCCATTTCAGTTGCCCGTAAACCTTGATGTTGAGCATCACCATGCCAGTATTCAAGTCCTGGCTCAACCCCTCTTCGAGAAACGGCGCCACCGGCACCGCATTACCGTATAAAAATGGGGACCAAACGGTGACGTCGCGATGGCCCTGGTAGGTCCTGGGTAGCAGCGTGGGTAAAGTTATCTGTTGGTTATGGTAAGATGCGAAGACATCGAGTTTTTGGTAGTAAATGCCGATCTTGTCATTGGGGTTATGGGAAGATAAAGTGATTTGCATGTTTGAAGTGAGTAAGTTTGGAGCTGTGAGATTGAGAGCGTAGATGGTGACGTCTTGGAGGATGAAGCGGGGCTTATCGGGGTGGAGGATTGCCCATACAAGGAACACAACTATGCCGAAAACGACCAAGAACCCCACAATGGCTATTGTTATGCGCTTGGCTCGCTGCTCCTCATCGTCGTGGTGGCCGCAGTCCTGGGCCGTCATAGTTGTGGGTTGCCGCTACTTGAGGAGTGGAGATGACAGGACCTTTTTAGCTAGGAAAATGAGGAGAGATCATAAAGGTTTTGGGGAGATAACAAAAAATTGTACTGTGATGGAGTTAGATATATAGGAAAAGAAATATGTGGAGAGAGAGATTTCTTTTAGGTACTTCAGTAGATAATAGTTGGGTTATATGAAGTAAATAAGTATATATTTAGAGTAAATCAATTTTTTTATTTTGATAATAAAGTATTTTTATTTAAATATTTAAAATATTTTTTATCAAAATAAATACTTCATGTATATCATTTTTTAAGTACCTAATGTATAATTTAGAAATCTAATTTAATCAAAAATTAATATAATACCTAGACAAAATATAGTATAATTTAGGTATTTATTTTAACTGAGAATATTTAGATAAAAAAAATAAAATATACTTTAAATACCTATTTAAATACTTATTTATGATATAAACTATAATGATTTAATAATCTCTTAAAATAAATTAAATTGTATAATTCAACTAAAAGTTTTAAAATTAATAAAGATATTATATTTTAAGTGAGATCACATCTTTTTAAACATTGATAATATACAAATTTATATATTATCTTTGTATTAAATATTGGATAAATTACACAAATAGTTATTAAATTGTGTTGAAATAATCTTTTTGATCACATAAATTTCCAAAGTTAAAAAATAATTATTAAATTTTCTAAATGGATACAAAAGATCAATAAACTTTATCAAACTATTATAAATAGATGGTTAAATTTATTAAAATCGATTATTATTTTATATTGTACAGTGATCATTTTATATGAATTTGATCAGTTTAGTAATTATTTTTGTAACTTTTAAAATAATTTTAATACCTATAAAAATTATTGTAACATAAGTTACTGAGAATTTATATTTTATTCTTAAATATAAAAGTACATAATCTAATGTGGAAATCTGTTGGATGTATGCGTATGATTGGGTGAGTAGGCATACGGTGGGTGCATAATGAGTGTTAGTTTGGTGCAACCTTATCTTAGGGTGCAGCCGTGCTGGGTGATCCTCACTTTATTATTATGCCTCACCAAAAACTCACCAACTTTTGGAAAGCAAAAGCACGAAATGGGATTTGCTTATTATATTTACCTTACAACGCTACTCTTTGCCTCTCAATTTTTATTAGTCAAGTGCTACTCTCTCCAAGCTAAAAAGTGAAATTAAGGAAGAAAACAAAAGTGATAATTGTGGAGAAGCCAAAGACGGTTGAATTGTGAAGCAAAGTTTAAGTCTAATTATTTCACGAATTCTGTTTTCAACAAATTTAAATTATGATGTAAATATAAAGGCAGCTCTTGTATGTTTTGATAAAATCCAATCGATAATATTATAAATTGAATATGTTTCATCAACTAATTAATTTAATCACCTGTGTAGTGGCAATTTGTCTTTAATCGATATTAATATGGAACTGAATACTTTGACAATCTCCACCACTTTCCTTGTAATTCCTGAAATGGTTAGAATATATGGTTGTCGAAAGCAAAGGGTAAAAAATGTTTTGTTTAGCCTTGACGCCAAAGGGAAACATGTAGGGCAATCCCTTTTTGCAATGAACCCCTCAATCTTAATATGGATTTTTGGTTTGGCCCAACCCTGTCTGCAGTGGTGAAAAGTAGAAAGCAGATGCGATGCTTTGGTAAAGCACTAAAATACAGGAATATGCATTCAGGTATTAGCTCTTTACGTTTTATGACAAAAGAGCAGCTTCGCCTTCTATTATTCTCTCTTTTCCTTTTCCTCTTCCTCTACCCTTTCTCTTTAATCGATATTTATGGACTGTTTTGAGCAAAGCAGCTTCAACGTTAGAGATAAAGGAAGGTGATATTAAAAAAGAAAGGGCATTGGAGAATAAGGGATCCATGAAATGGAAGGAAGGTTGAGACTTTAAACTCCCCTAAACTCCTTCTACATAATGTGATATTGAAACCATAAACCCAGCAAGATTGAGTTTTAATTTGTTCTTGTCATCGACCCAATTCTTCAAAAGCTCATATATTATAATCATATTTCAAATATTATTTAACTGTTAATAAATAAAAATTAATACTTTTTTACATAAATTCTATAGAGTGATTCCTCCTAACTTGATTGCTTATAAACTCAACAAATATAGTGTAATAATAGCTTGAAGCCATGAAATTTAGAGTTTTGTTTGAACTCTTTTTTTTAATGATATGTATATTATATCAACATAGGTAGGATTTTATGTTATGTGAATGAATTTATAAAACTTTAAGTATGGGAAATTTATAAAATTTTAGAAGACGAAAATATTTTTAATAGAAAATACAAATAAAATATCTATATATATATATATATTAAATTTCTTAGGAGGGACGACCACTCCCATCCATCCCTCTAGATTCATTCATATATATACATAATTAGTATCTATTTACTTAGTATTTTTTCACATATTTAAGACTGATAAATGAGTGAAAAAAATTATTTATAAAATGAAAGCGTATAATATAAAAATTGTGTTTTCTTTCGGATGAAATAAGGCTTGTCTTCTTCTTTTTGTACGTTAGTATTTGTTCTAAAAGTAAATTAAATGCGTGGAAATGGTTTTATAATTAAATAACCTTATAAAGAGACTGTATGGTCTCTGTTTCATCGATTTCTGGTTTATTATTTTTTTATTTTATTTTTTAGTCTATGATTAATAACTTACGGTGTTTATAAAACCTTAAGATTTAAGCATTATACGCGTTTAAATTATGATCTTCACTCTAAATTGGTTATTAAATTTTTGAATATTTTAATTTTATTTTCAAATTATGACATTTATTTTAAATTAATTCTTAAACTTTTAAATATTTCAATTTCATCACCAAATTATGTCCCTCATTCTAGATTGATCTTCAAACTTTTGAATATTTTAATTTCATCCCCAAAATTTCATCAAAATATTTAATTAGTTTTAACCATATTTTAACCTAAATTTGTTTATTGAACGTATAATAATATAGCTTGTCCTAACGATTTTGTTAAGGGGGATGCGATTAGTATATACATATAGTTTGAGATGATATTGAAATGTTTAAAAGGTTTTGCGACCAATTTAGAATGAAAGTCATAGTTTGGGAATGCTATTGAAATCTTCAAAAGTTTGAGGACTAATTTAAAATAATAGCCATAATTTAAGGATAAAATAGGAACCTTTAAAAATTGAAGGACTAACTTAAAACGAGGCTCATAGTTTGAGAATGTGTGATATAATTAACTCAATATTTAATTATCAAAGAAACCAAGGTGATAAAGTCAAGATTATAATGTTTTATGATAGGTTCAAACTTTGAATTTTGAAACCGTTTGTAAATAGACATTTGTTTTAATAAGATTATTATTCTTGATTTTCTACATTGAATTACATGGTGACTTTTTTGTCATAGATGTTGAAATAGCGAATATAATTAATGAATAATGTGTCACATGAATTTATTTAAAATTAATAGATTTTGTCAATAATCTTTGAATTTTATCTTATATAAATTTAATTTTAAGATCTATTTTTTATGATCAGAAAACAATTCATGATATAATATAAAATCGTAAATGAACATATAATAAATCAAATTATTTTAACCACTATAAGTTATTTTTAGTTTATTTTAAATTCTCAAAAAATATTTTCGATTTATTTTTTATCTTTTAAAGTTAAACTTTTCTCTCCCATACCTTCTCTCCATTCCTACTAAAATTTGATCAGAAATCACATCGTAAATCATGTATATATATTACATTTTATGTTATGGGTCGAATTTATAAATTTTTAATAGACGAAAACGAATTATCAATAAAAAATAATAAATACTTAAATTATATGAGAACTTGAATTTTTCAGGAATGATTATCCTGTAAGCTCCTCTCGCTTCATCCTTGATGCTTATTATTGTTAATTACTAAATTCTGCTTTTATAATAAAAAAATATTATTGATTTTTAAAAGATGTCTTTATATGACGATATATCCGTAAATATAATATATTATATACGTCTCAATTCATATTATTTATACATATCCCAAATAATTGATTTGGTGTATTATTTTTAATAAATTTTAGTTATTGGATAAATTAATTAGGTGATGAAATTAACATTAATATTATAATATCATCATAGCTTGGAACTTTGAATTTTAGGAGTGCCTATAAAATGGAAGCCGGGTTTACACAACGAAGGAATGAACTAGAAGGGGGGGGGGGATTGAGATCAAAATGTGGTCCAAAACGAAGGCGTTTCTGATAGCTTGCATTATCTTGCTTTCAACTCTTGCTACGTTCAGCGCTCCTACCTCGGCTCGACCACTAGTTGTCACAAGTAAGATCAAATCATTTAGTATCACTACTCTGCCGTTAATATTTTACCTATTATTTTTATTCTATTTTAGTATTTAAATTTTATTTTTTTTCAAAATTATATATAACATTTAAGTTGAGTTGTAATTTGATATATGGTCGTTAAAATTTAACAGTGATTTTAATATGTTACCATAAAATAATGTCATGTCATCATTGTTTTTTTAAATATCACATCAATAATTTTATTAAATTTTTAACAGTATGTATTGAATTGAAACATAAACTAAATATTAGATATGATTTGAAAAAAAAATAAGATTTAGATACCAAAATAAAAAAAAATAATAGTTTAGATACTAAAAATGTAATTTACCTATTAAATTAAATTGAATCAATTATGATTTATAATAATTATTATTATTATGGTCTATCTGATGGGTACGTGTACAATATGAAAATATGTTTGGATATGGTTGTGTTAAAATTAATAGCGTTGACTTATGCAGTAAGGCCTAGCAATCCTATTCCAGATCCAGGGCCAAGTCCCTCATGTAGCATTGAGAACGGCAAAACTGTGTGTGTAGGACACTGATGATACAAGTCAAGGAAGGGAGGGGGGAAAAGCTATGTAAAAAAGGGGATGTCCAACCCATTATTATAATATAATATAATATATTAGCATTGAGTTTCGACTAA